GGGGGGGGGGCTTTGACGTATTACGGTATTGGCTGATAGTGCCTGATCAAAAAAGGACCCCGGCGGCGCGGCCAGATCAAACGGGCATATAATGGTCTTCGTCGTCAATGTTTGGTAGAGTCACTCGATAGCCACGCTCTCGCCGTAGCGGCTTTCCAAGGTCTGATTTTGAAACAGTGTTCCGGCCATTGTGAGGCGTCGAAGCGCCCTTGAAATGGCCTCCGCAACCAGCTTCGATCGTTAAACCCTCTTCCGGTGCTTCAACGCTAAATTCGTGACCGTTTGTCTCCGGCCAGGTTCCTGTATGGCACTTTCCGTGGGGACCAACTGGACGTGGCTGAGGAGGCGAGGGTTCCGCAGATGTCGGGAATATTTTAGCTGGTCGTGACACGGAACCTAAACCAAGTGGTCAACAGGTGTACGACGGACGCGACTTTGGGCTAGGAAAAGAAGTCTGAGCCGACTGAGGTTGCGGCTCAGCTGGCCCATCTCGTTTTGTAGCGACGGGTGCGGTTGACCACTCCCACGAAAGCTACACGTCGTTGTTGGGGTTTGTGGGTAGTGTGACTGCATGGACACGGAGGATCTGTTCCATGTGTGAGTAATCATCTCTTCGAAGTAGACTTACTCGTGGCCTTTTTGGCGTAAAATACTTGACCCGGATAGAAAGGGCGGTATTTCAGCCTACAGATCCCGTATGAGGTCTCCGAGCCTTTGTTTCTCATTAACGAATTCTAGTGACGCTACCATCAAAAAGAGACGGCTCCCTTGGCATTAGGCACGACCTTACCGACCAATCAAGACCATCGTCCCGGATGATGGGGGAAGATTTTTCGTTCACAGGGATGGATAAAAGAGAAGACTGATAATTGGTCAAAAAACATTTTGGGCTTAGCTCACCCCGGTAAGTTCCCGACGTAGCCCTTTCCTAGGTACCACTAATTACTGTGTTGGCTCAAGACGACCTCGCTAGGCTACAATCAAGTGAAGTTACAAGTGAGCGCCACGAACGCCTCGGCTACGGGCCACTTTTCGGGCTACGCACAACTCGCATGACCATCCTGCGAATAGAATGTAGTTCCGGCCACAGGCGGCGCCGCTTGCTCCGCACAGCCGTCGGGGGGATGATTTCCCTGCATCCTCACATTAGACCTACATCCTTACCACCCCCATTGCTCTCTTTGTGGGTGCCGATGGGGTGGGACGGATGAACCCTAGTCACAAAGGCTCCTCCCTACTCGCCAAGGAGGGTGCCGAAGAAAGTAGGCAACTGAGACAAGCCAATCATTTCTATCTCAGGCAACCCTCGATTTACCTTTCTGGCTCTCCAAGGTCTACTTGTACGGATGCAAGGGCGAATGAGGTCTGAGTACGAGGTACAGGTTTGTTTTCGCGATTTGGGTTCTTGTTTTGCCCCTACCGAGTCCACTCCTCCATCAGATCAGCTCCTCGCAGCTCATTGGTTCGATAGCTTCGGGTAACTGGGTAGAAACTCAGCTACTCAGGTACGGACCCAATTCTTCGCCTCTTTCAGTTTCCACCCCGGGTCTCCCTTCTTTTCCGTCGTTTTGATGGGGGTTACAGCATGCTGTCGTCCTATCCGGTCTTGTCCCGCTCTGCCCTGGCTGAGTGCAGTTTCGTAGGTGGTCTTCGAGGAGGAACCGCCACCGAGGAGGACTCATGAGCACGAGAGACATATCTGTGGGCCTCTTACCTTCCAACTAAAATGCGGACTATAAAAGCTTTTGCTCGTCCCTTACTGACTGTAACACCCTTCCCTTTTATTTGAATTTGCGTAGTCACCTTTAACTTCCGGGAGTTAATCTCTGACCAACAACTTGTTCTAACTCTTTGTTGACTATTCAAAAGTCACGAAAGATCCTTAATTGATCCTCTCGCTTTCGCCGGAATCCCTATGCCTGCCTAGGGATTGTACGCTCTCGAGTGACGACTTGACCGGTGAAGATATCACTCCTCTGGTGTACCGCATTTTGAACGGGTCAGGCTATAGTTGATCTTTGGCGACAAATTCAACTACAGAAGAGGTGGGTAATTTGGTTTGTTAACTGTCCTCCTATCGCTACCCGAAGGCCAAAAGGGTAGTTGAGGTCAACGCTCGCTTCATATTCACGGTGAGGTTGTGGGGAGCCTGTGGTACCACCGCGAAACGTCCCATTGTGCTGGCGCCTCCATTGTCGTTGCCGTGGCACTGCTGGTCTTAAAGTGGGGAGTCGTGGAGTTGGCAAGACTCTCCCAGGCGATAATCGCCGTTTGCTATCGGTATGTGTCCGTCTCGAATCTATGTGTTAGTCTCTCTCTCTAACGGACCGTCCTACTAAGCGTGGTGGCCAAACTGGTCTTTCCAACACGGCCGGGCTCGTGCCGACCTCGGCCTCTCTGAAAAGCCTATATTAGACACGCGAGGTGGCTCAGGCGATCAGCCTCAATCTAAGTTGCGAAATTGGTTAGACCGATAGTCTACTTCGGCGAGAGCCCTCAATCTCTCCGACATTGGCCTTTTTGCCCTCTATCACGGGGATATAGTGCTTTTCGATGATCACGCTGACCAAGTTGGCGATAGAACGCACTTTCTTATCTCTTCTTGACGCCATTCAAACTTTTGGTTGTAGTTATATGAACTTTGTGGCCAAACATTCTCTTTAGGTAGGTGAGTCTCCTCTATTGTTCGCTATCTCGCACTCCACGGCCGATACGTAAGTTAGACTCTTAACGAGCTAATTGGACCTTAGGAGGCTATAACAATCAAGACGGAGACGCCTTATACTTTGTCGTGCACGATTTTACCTTTCCACAACATTTTCAGCCTTCCTGACCACCCCTTCCCCGCCAATAGTCACCAAAATTGCGGTCTCGAAAACACTAACCTACAGCATTACAGCTCGAAACATTCTGCTATGGCTTCCGGCGGAGCAACGCTACAGCCAACCTTCAAAGGCCATGTCGCCACCACCCAAGATGCCCTCATTCTCTTCGAGGCCTGCCTGCAAGGGCACCTCTCACATGTCCCTAGGCGACCACTCGATCGAGAAAGAAGCGATCTGATCAGAAGCGGCCACGTCTTTATCTACGACGAGAATGCATCCGCGATCAAGAGGTGGACGGACGGGATTACTTGGAGCCCCAGTAGAATTCTGGGAAACTTCCTTATCTATCGAGAAGTCGATAAACCTTTTCCACCGGGAGAGAAGAAGAGAGCCAAGAAAGGCCAACAGCGGCACCAGAGCCGGCCCGGGGAGCCATATGGCCGACCTGAGTGTGGCTCACCCTCGGAGGGACCGTCTCGACGTCATCCCCCCATCGAGGTGACGGAGAAGTTGATAGGATCACTGATCGATTCATACGACTTTAAGAAAGACGGATTGGTTAAGAAGACAATGAGCGTCATGGTCCAAGGCGTCAAGTATCACCTCGTCTCTTACTACCATGTGAACGACGCCCTTGGCAATCTGCTGCCAAAACCTTCTCAAATGGACAACCTACAATACATCCGTCCACGGTCTGAGCTCACCTCGGGGCAAAGTTTTCGGGAACCCGCCGAGGACGTCAACGAGGCTGATGGAGCTCATAACTCGCACGCATACCCCGTGAACACCGACGCTTATCCCCAGCCATACTACATACCCCCGATGGCTCAGCAGCAAGGCCCACACCAATATTTCCAGGCCCATTATCCCACGTCCACGGGCCATATACAATGCCCAGTAATAGCAACATCATATATCCAAGGACAACTAAACGCCGCTGATCGGCAGAACCCATACTGGTACCATACAAGAGATGGGAACTGGAGCGGCTTAACCGCCGATAATATGAGTCTCCTACGATTCCAAACATAGGATGGCCCCGGGCGCAACCGCTCTCACACCCTACCATGGATTCTCGATAAAGGTCGAAGTCTAGAACCTCAAGTCGATAGGTCCGCGAACCTCTGTACCTTCCATGCCGGGATCGCCTATGTCTGGTCCGCCACTTCAATTGTGCTCAAATAGGTTAGACTCGATAGGATCCGCTGTTCTTTACGGTACGTGCGACCAGAAGACGTGGGAATCAAAACTGCAGCGAGGTTCAATAAACGGAGGTCTAAGAACGTTCTGCTATGCATATAGCCAAGTGTGCGAGGTTGAGATAGTGCACCTGGTGGCAGGTGCCGGTAGACAGTCTCATGGACTTATTCCTTTACGATCGCAGCCTGACAAGTTTTCCTCAACGACCACGAAAGCGACCTCGAGGATGTTCTAGCTAACGTAGAGACAGATGCCGCCTGTCAGCAAAGTGTGGCCGCCCAGACAGCCATAGAGATCTGTCGCGAGATCGAGGATGCGGATGATGCTGCACACTAAAATTGCTCTGTTTCGGTGTACGGCATCGTCGAGTAATTGAATAAAGCTGACAAGACGGCACTCGTCTTTCAGCCGCTCTATCTTGGCTGTGCGTTGCTTAGAACACTTATTGCGTTCGTCGAAGGTGATATGTCGGCGGTTGGTAGGAGGGGCCGATGTTGTGACCCGACAGGCGTTGGCTGCAGAATTTAATCGAAAGGCGGCCTCCTTTTCAAGTCCTCCACATTTCCTCAAGAGCTGGCGGGCTCGGGTCTAAGTCTCCAGCGAGTGCCTTGTGTCAGAATCTACGACTTTAGCTCTAATCCCTCGCGGTAATAACAAGCTGTTGGCGGAATAAATCGTATGCGTGAATTGAAACCAGTCTCTATGTACCGCTTCCTCGCCCTCGGGACGTTCAAAAATATTTGTTCGGTGAGGTGTTGGACAGGCCGTAGACCCATGAGCCTCGCGAGGAATAAGCATCAAACCATAATATAGATTAACAAACTCAATTCGCCAATTCCCCAGCCAGGTCTCGGGCTTGGCCCCATAGACCTCGTCGTCTCACTCGTAAGACTGGCAAGCTGATCCAGTTCCTATCTTAACCATCTTTCGGGTATTGAGTCTAGGGTAGGTTTGGTCTCTCAAAAAGTCGCTCTGCGGAACGCTAGGCTCTGCCTGTGGTTCCGAGGTTTGATATCACCGTAGTCAGGAAGCCACTGCGATTTCACATAAGGTAACTGAGCGGATGTGGAGAGATGGGGAGCTACGAAAACTTTCGTGAAGCCCACAGCGGCCGTTAGCCTCGTGTGGCGAAGAGGCGGTCTCCGTAAATGGTACGCCCTAAATGGGAATTGACTTTCCGTTCTTCCAAAGTTCATTCGCCAGCAAAATGGAGTGTTCGAACAAAAGTCGTTAAGCATCCCTGTAAATGGTGGGTGCTTGACTGGGCCAACTGGTTCTTGCTCATCAGCTTTTTGGGGCCGCCATTCGCGTCATCTTCGGGGTGTGTCATGACTTATGATGATTAGCCCCGGATAAGCCCCAACTAATGAAAGAGCTTTATTGGTGTAATAGTAGATCTGTTTCCTACCCATAATAATCTGGCTCGACTCGAAAGATGACTAGGCTTCTATCCCCTGCGTGGTCACGAATGCTGAGTAAAGCCTTGGCCTCCTTTTTTGCCCGCAGTTCAGCCCTCAAAGATAATTCAAGTTGATACATACATAATTTAGAGTCTGGGCTACACTATAGAGAAATTATAGGGTGTTAGAGGAAGAGATAATGCTGAAAAGTAGTGATGAAGAAGACGCAGGAGAAGGTCTCTTTAGAACTCCCTGATTGGTCAGCTCTTTGAATCCCTCCTCCTAATTGGTCGAAGCCGTAATGCCAAGACAATACCCAGCATTCCTGACCACGCAGGGGATAAGTAGAGTATAGTCACTCCCGTAGTGATCGATGTTGTAGACACATTGCCACTTTGTTTTCACTTCGGGCCACGGGACCCACCTCTGTATATTTGGCCTGGTGTTACGCTTGGTTCTGTCAAACCACTACAGTACCCGGCATACTTTGTTTTAAATCCACGGTTTCATACACACATTTGCAACTGTGGCTTCACCTTCCGTTTCAGTTTCAGCCTATTCCATTGGCTGTGCAGACCAGATATCTTCACCTTTCAGTTGCACTCGAAAATTATTGGACCCATAAATCTGGCTCATCTATTGTGGGCAAAACTATATGAAGTCTAGACAGCATTTTGATTTTTCTGTCACGTACCGTCAGTAGTATAACCCACATCCCCACGTCATGATCGAATGAGATAACCAGAGTTTCTGTCTGAGCATACTGTGAGCGAATGAAATTGAGGCCGGTGAAGCCTTCTCCAAGGATAAAAGGGTGCCGGAGGGTACTTTGGTGAAATGCCAATACCGTGCCAAGGTATTTGGCACGCTAATTTACAAGTACAAGCTCATGCAACATCTTACGCATGGCAGGCGCATAGCCACTCAGCCACAACTTGTGGCTGAATCTAATAAATTCCTTATGCCCTTGAATTGCTCTCGTCTGTCGATCTTTGCCTCTTAAAGACGTCGAACATTGATCGAAGCTCTCATAACCAACTTCCGGACAGAAGATGACACAACGCAACCAGACTCCTGCCAATTCTAGGAGGAACGGCTGGAGGACGATAACCGAAAACACTTCTCATCTATTGAGTATTTAAGTAGAGATGAATTGATTCGATTTGTCAATGATTTGCTCGCAATTTAGCTCCAGCAGTCGTTGTGACCTCCGCTCAGATATCAGTCGATGTTGTATTCACGGCGCATTTCATCCCGCCAGCCCGGGCTCATGTATACCAGTACATGCTCATCCGTGATGTCAACCTCGCAGGAGATAACATTCCTGCTTCTGTCTTTCCTATACATCGCCGAGAAGTACGCCAGAAGGTCTGGGTGTACCGAAACATCATGTTTGCCAACCCACTTTCCGAACTTATCGGAAATCTCACATTGATAATCCATGAATCCCTCGGTGCTTCCCTTCTCCTGCGTAGCTCGTATGCTCTTGCCCTCACCGTGTCCTGCGACATAGCGAGACGCGTGTGATTCTTCCAGATTGAGGTGAATGTAACTCTTCTCCACGAGAGGGATGGCAATTTGCAGTCCCTCTGTTAAGGCTGCCATGCTGTTGGGTCTTACCGTATATTTGAGGTTCTGTTGGGACAGTTGTTGACTTAGAAATAACTAGTCGCCTTGACAGGAGTGTCGTTCGTAGATTTATATCTTTGATTGGAGTGCAAAGATTATATCAGTGTTGCCAGGACTATAGTCTGACTAGCCAAGGGCTTGACACTCTTGATAGGGCCATAAATATATCAATTCGTACCCAAGCCCACTATTTTGCTCACAAATTGTATACCAAAAAATATCGGATTTTATACGGCTACGTATTGAATCGCCCTTGCTATCGAGAATATTTGCCGTGGCTGTAGCCGCCTGGTGAGTGACCAGTGATATTGCTGGAATATGCGCCCAACCCATCCTCCGGTATGTCTGTTGAGAAGCCAGAGGTCGACAAAAAGGAGCTGCGAACCCCGACGGCGTAGATACACAGCAGAGGACTCTCCTGTGTAAGTGCAGCCACATGCTTGCGGCGCCTCGTATGATGTCCTTTAAGTTCTTCGGTTGGATCAGTTCCAACTTCCAAGGTCGGGCGACGGGGCCCATTGGAGGCAGAGATCAGCCGTTAGTGCTGGAACTGCGTCGGGCACTGCTAGGCTATCAAAGAACTATCCCGCGAATAATATTTGACTTTGGCAGTGCAAGGGAATGTGAGAAAGGTGTGCGATGCATTCCAGACATTAAAACTTCGATGGATCCCCATGATGACAACTTAACGCCGTTCAATCAAAAATTCTAGATTCCATTTCGGCGCAGGACATTTTTCGACATGGGAATGCCCACCTAAGGCCTCCCACGTCAAATGTCAATTTTATGTTTTGACCCGAACCTACCACATGGTGATTTGCTGTGGCGGACCTTGAGGAGATGTCGCCTATTCCCTTTCTTGCTTGTGGTTCCTTCAAGCAACCTCGCACCACCGCATTGCCTTGTCCCGTGCCTGCTCTTTCTCGTCCCGGGGACAATTGTAGGAAATGACGTTGAGCGAGTGCCACCGGCCGGGAGGCTGACGTAAGGCGAAGGAAAGGAGCCGTGCAAAAGACAAAATCCCTCCTTCGAGGTCGTAGTCTATCTCTATACAACTTTTTCACATTTGCAGTTGCTGCAGCGAGTATGGCGACAGTGAGGACAGTGCTGTTTCTGGATGCTGATCGGCGTCTGTCCACACCTACAACAGGTGTACACAAATACGGCGACAGTCTTCTTTCCGGTTTTCGACGGTGGCTACTCGCACTCGGTCAACGCGAGTCCTTTTCAGTGACCTTGGTGATTGACGCAAACGAGCCAACCCGTGTACTGACCATTTTCGTTTATATAGGAAAAGATATAAGCAAGGTGAGTTTTCGTAGAGATATCTCAAGCCACGAACTAGTGCATACTCGTGTTTTCGTTGATGTAAAAGTAGCGAGTCTAACGGGTGTCGAATGAAATGAGAGAAGTAAAGTCTGAGAAAAAGACGCCCAAAAAAAGAACGTGAACCGCGCAAAAAGCTCAGTGTGACCAAAACATCCCATCTAACGCGCTGATGCCGGATAAAGACAACATTATGGATAGGTTGAAAATGAAAATGGATTCATTGAAATTCCCAAAAAGAAAAGTATTAGATTATTATGCGGTGACGGTCCAACCCCTGATCTCTTCGCACTAGAGCCATTTCGGGATCGGATCTCTTGGCACGATCACTACCATTTGAGATATTTGATTCGCACACAGCACCTCAACCATTTACTGTAGATGGTCTTTCGTAGCGCAATTTCATTCAATTTTGAGGTTGTTGATGCCACGGCCTGCCAAGCCTTCCCCAGTGTTCTTCACGCATAAACGATGCGGTGAGACATACCGGGTCATCGAACTGTATATTCTGCGCTTTTTTTT